GAGAGAAAGAGAGAGTGAGGAGTTACGAGCATAGTTCCCCCTACACCTGCGCGACATGTGGTATGTACGTGTATATTTAAACAGCGTTCTCAGCCTCGGGGCGAAAACGCAAGGCTGCGGCAAGGTCTCTCGGCGCCATTACCGGTGCACACAACCGAGAGAAAGCCGCTCGAGCTTCTCTCTCTCTCTTTTCCTCTCTCTTTCTCTCGCGCGCGCGCGCGCGCTCGGATAAAATAATTTTATTTTCGTGCCGAGAGATAAACGCGTACACTCCATCGAGTATCCCGTCGAAATATAAGGGCGCGCCGCACCGGAGAGAACAGTGATGATTCATCCCGAGTGAGGGCCACGCATTTAGAAAAGCAAAGATTCGAAATGCGACGTCGAGCTTTTCTCTCCCATCCCTTCCGGTTTATCGATTACGGTGTTCTCGCGATGTATCCACTTTGGGTTCAAAATTCCCGAATGCCATCCAGATATCATTTTATCCTTATTATTCATCGAATGTTAAACCCTTTAAAAATTTAATACTATAAATACCGGCCGATTAATCACTACTTTTCAGTATTAAAAATATTGTTAACAATACTTTTAATACTCAAAATAAGTAATTCACTGGTCGGTACTAGTATTAAATTTCTATAAAGAAAGGATAACATATTAACCTGGAGAGTAACGGAATCTGAACGCACTATTATGTTCACGTGATTGGATTTAATTAAATTCAAGTAAAAAGAGATAAATCAAAACGTGTTCTCTAACACTTTAAGGCCGGCATTCATAATTTTTATATTTAAGACTGTCTTAAGTAGCCTTAAGATGTCATGAACCAATCAGAGAATCGTATTAATATCTTAAGACATATACTTAAGACGGTCTTGAAATAATAACGGACTACTATAAGCACACAATATTCCTAGAATGTTATACGAATACTACTTACCTTTTTTAACATTCATATAACATTCTAAGAATATTGTGTCTTACAAGACATAAATACCGACCTTAAAGTGAATCTTACTCTCAAAGATTAAAATTGAACTACTATTTTTCAAAACTGACTCAATGCTCACTCTTTAAAGTGAGATTTCACTCTAGAGAACTTAGAGAGTATCCAATTAATTACATTTTTAATCGAGTCATAGATCCAAGCATCCTTAATTACATTTTTAATCGAGTCATAGATCCTCCAAGCATCTTTTGCGCGGCACACATTAGAGAGGGGCGTTCGAGCCCTCTTTCAGCGCATGTTCGCAGGAAAACGGAAAGAAATGTCTCACGCACATCTCACGACGTTCCGCGCTCCTCGACGAGTCCTCGACGGTGTTCACATCCTCGACTCGTCTCCGCGGATCGACCTCGTACATTCGGAAATTGTCGCACGATGTACTCGAGTCGGACGTCGCGACGCGACCGTCGACGTGCATGGCCCCGTCGACGCCGTCACCGAGGACACGACTGTGCCGGAAATGTCGCCCGCAACGCGGCCCTCCTCGTATGTACGCGGTGTCCTAGGTAACCCGCCGCCGGAGTCCGCGTGAATACTATGCGCGCGCGCGCGGATCACGTGTACCGAAGAGAGTATCGGATCGATTTCTTCACCTGCCTCGACACAGAGTTTCTCAATAATCTGCGTTTCTTAATACCTGCAATCTTATTCGCGCATACAAATAAGCTTGAAATTAAATCTGCAAAAAGATCGCACATCTAAAGAAAAGCGGAATGTAGTTGAAAAGCTCTTGCTTGCTGCATATCCCACTCCCCTCTTTCTCTCTCAAAAAAGCTAATTTTCGTACGATAATGAATAGAACAAATTGATGAAGTTATAAATTGATTGCATGCTGTATTTTAATGTTTATTTAAAAACGTCTAAAAATGGAATTGATCAGTTGAGTTTTTGACTTATTTCTTTCGTTTTTTTTTCTATGTTGCTAATCTACATACATAGTATGAATTTATATTCGCATATTTTTCTCTCACCTTTATTGTCATGGAGACGTTCTATTCTAACTTTTGCATCCATATATTACAAGAGTTCGTCTTGTTCAGTGCCCCACATTTCCTGTACTTCAAAGAATACAAGTTAGAATTTAAAACATTAACGAAAGAAAGAGAAGAAAAAAAAATACAAGCCGAACGCATTATTCCATGGTATCGCACGTTAAAATTTAGCGCGATAACAATAAGCTCTCGATATGGGTACCACTGGTGGATACAACGATCCAATCTGCTTCCGTATTTAGCAAAGCACGTTTATTCCATGGCATTACTTCACCCCTTGCGAGAGTATACTCATCGTATTTAGATTATATCGATTGCCGTTGCGCGTCATAGCTTGACCTACTTGTAACGTTGGACGTTTCTTATATATTATATACATATGTATGTATACACACAGCGAGGCACTTAACCCTTAGTTCTATGACGAAAAAAGGTCATTACATACCACGCTATTTGGTCGTTGTACTGATTCCAAGCTGATTGAAAAGGAAGATATTAACCGTTACGTCAGTTATGTATTCCTGTACGATCTTGTAACGAAATAAAAAATGTGTGCTTTTATTAGTGATGGATGAATGAAATAAGTAAAAAATGACTGCGTTTAGCAGAGAAAACTCCGCTCACTGAGCAAAAAAGGGATTAATCTATGATTAATATGTTTACTTTTTAAGATTAATATGCGACTTTTAATTACGCTCCACCACTCACTGAGCGCCAATCTTACAGTCCAAACACGACACTAGAGAAATAATAAATAGTAATAAATAAGAAAAACTATGATATTAAAGATTATTTGTAATAGACAAGTTATTTTACATTACGAATTATAATAAATAAACATATTAATCATAGATTAATCCCTTTTTTGCTCAGTGAGCGATTTTCTCTGCTGAACGCAGCCAATGGAAAGAGTACATATTGACTTTACTGATATAATTAAATAATTAATCGATATTTTTATAAAATTCAGTTTATTGAAGTAGAATATTTAAAATCAATTTTAAGAATGCTTTCAGTTTTACTTTCTTCTATTTTACTCTTATAGTGAAGGAATATAAGAATGTTTGATCTCGTAACAGAAATAAATAAAACGAAAGATATAAAATTAAACATACTTTCTTACTCCGTAATAAAATTTATAATAATGCATTGAACATTTCCATCAACATTGCTAAGTTATAACTTTGTCAAATCTAAAAACTTATCCTGAATATTTAAAACGAAATTCAAAGTTTTCAATAACGCCAATATAATCTTTTCATCAAAGAATGTTTTTTCATAAAGAAGCAAACTAAAAATAAATATTTAATAACGACTTATAAATCGTAATTTCGTATTAAGCACTTTGAATATGTCAAATATGTAATTAATAATACACAAATAAAATATATTCGATTAAACATAGCATGCAACGACAGAATAATTATTAATAATTAGTTAATCCAATAAAATCAATGTCAAAAGAGACTATTGTAAAATTACAATTAAAAACGTGTAGGTAGACATCAGGCAACTTACTCTCAGTGAAAATTTATATTCGACACGAATCTATTTGCTTAATACGAAACGCATAATACTTTTCTTCAAATTAGTCATGAAATTCAGAAAACTTGTACGATTGCTTACTCAACGCGGAGATACCGTTAAATTTTTGCATTTAAGCGCTATATATAAAAAATATATAAAGAAAACAATACTAATTAATAAAATATTAACCAACACAAACAATAAAACCTAAACGTAGATAATGCAATAAAAACTGAGCATTTATAATTGTATCACATTTAAGGAGCTGCGTGATTCTATGTTTTTGCAGATTTTGTTGTGCCGCGACAACGTAAAATATACTCGCATACGTAGAAACAGTTTGATGAGGAAAACGACTGGGAAGTCCGGACAGGGAGGTTTGTAGTCGATTTGCTGCGCGAGCTGCAGCATCTGTGATCCGAGATTCTCCTCGATAGAAAGTTTCTCGAAATTGCGCATGAACGTGTCTTCGAGGCTGGAAACGTAGAGATGGAAAGAGCTCGATGTGTCTCTGCTAGACGAACTACTCTCCTTAGTAGCATAGGCAATGCACACGTTGCAATTAACGTGCACCCGCAAACACTCGTTGAGCAGAAACTCACACACGCGTTTAAATGCGCTTCTCTCGGGCAGCCGCAAATCGATGTCACGATAATTTGTCGTAGAGATGTTCAAAACTACTTGAGTAGCGGGCGGAACCTCATTAGCTAAAGAGGACACCGACGGGGTTGACGCTGTCTCTATTCGCTTAAGCATCTTCCGTCCGTTCACGGCAGAATTGCCTCCGCTTGAATGCTCGAGGAAGTGCTTGCTGACGAGATTCTTGAATGCGTAAGTAAACAAGATAGGCGTGGGCTTAATGCGATTTCCGCTTTGTCGTCTAATAGAACGAAAAACGCGCTCGATGCTCTCTAGATTCAATTTTCTTGTGCAGAGAGAAGGCAGCTGATGCTGTTGCAACACATTCCACAGTTGAATAACCGCATTGATCGTAATCTGCCAATGATCAAAGCACTTGATCGACTTGACGCACGCGCCATTTCTGTCCACTATCTTTATCGACTTCAAGAAGTCAAGTGTCTGCTGCAAAAAGCTCATTTCGTGCATGCTACCCGTGAAAGTTTGTTCGAAATTCTTAGTATTCGATTTGGTCGATGCAGAGGAATTGAGAATGTCGAATAGCTGATCAAAATTGCGTATAAACTCCATTGTGCCGATCGTTTCCAGAGGTAATTCACCGGATGCAATGTGCGCACTGAGACCTGCAGCTATGCTACCACTGAATATTTGAACAGCGTATTTGGTTTCCATCTTTTGATATCCCTTGGGCTCCAAATGACTCAAAGACAATTTAGGGGCCAATGGCAGTCGCATCTGACTGTCGCGCCTGAAAAAGAGTTCGATATCCGTCCACGAGGCCCTTTTCTCGCTGAAGCGAAGCTCGTGAATTCTGAACACGTTTCTGGTCGTTCTCATTCGTTGTTCACCAGGAATGACGGGCGTTCCGCAGAAATCCCTAGTAGTCGTGTTAGTCGCAGAAACGTTGGTGATGTATTGGTAATTAAAACATGCACGGTCGCATTGATGCTCTTTAATCTAATTATTGCTTGGAATATCAGATTCTTCAAGATATCGGTGCGACACGTGTTACTGTGAAAGTAATAGGCGATAGGCTGTTCCCAGTTGCCATCCAAACTACATGCCATTATCACCAAAACCTTTCTCGCTAACGTGCGTCGCTTCTCTGCACCGGTATCGTGGAAACCGACGATTTTGTCGCGCGTCAGATTGTAAAAGAGATGTGGCCTAAGTCGCATCTCGTTCACAGACAGGGAACAATGTCTCTCCGTCGACGGTAGTGACTTGATCTTCAAACGCAATGCATTAAGCACATTGTCATTCAAGCCGGGCAGCATATCCCAATTGCGGATGTGTCTCCACAGCTGACGAGTTGTAGGCAGCAAGCATAACGGCCGGTAAAATCTGTATGCACCTGATGCCATGAAGAATAACTCGAGCGCGAGTTGCTTATCCTTAAAGTTCTTTTTAGTCTTAGGCTTCTCGCAAGCATTGATGCACGCTGAGACTAACATGGCGGAATTACTTGGTAGTAAGTCTGTACACGCCGTTTTAAATTGATTCATGTTCAGGCGATTATCTTCGTTTTCCGCATTGGATGTTTTCCTTCGCTTTGCGACCAAATTGTCGTCACAAATCTCAGATTTTTCCATAGATCTCTTCCCTCGAACCCAAGATTCTGGTGTCTGTGTCGAAATATTCCAATGTCTTCTTTTTGATGTCCTGTAACAGTTAACAAACTTTATCTTTAATATCTTTATTTTATTGTTAAATTAACGTTTTTGTATATTTTAGTGTAATAATCTGACGTTAATCGCTAAAATAAATGTTTACCAAACTTTAGTATTTTTGTTAGTAATATTAATCCTTGATAATGATATTTACTTGTCACCATTTTGGTGCGTTGTATGAACTGTTTTTGACGACGTTGTACAAACCGATACCGTTTTCGACGTTGTACAAATCGATACTGTTTTTGATGGTGGTGTACAAACCGATACTGTTTTCGACGTTGTTGGCACTGGATAGTCCATAGATGTTAAATCTATAATATCTCTATTTAAAAAAGAAATAACTTTCTGTATTTAACGATTATAAATGACGCTATATAAGCTGAGATTGCAAAATCGTAACTTACGTATTACTGCACTCTTCTTTTGGAAATATTCGCGACAATGTCGACACTGCTTCCGTATTCGTATCTATTTCTTTGATAAATTGTATTTCCGCAGAAGTATCCCTACTAATAGAGTGCATTTTTAATACTTTTATTTTTTCCAACATATTGTAAATAAATTAAGACTTTATTTACATTAAATTCTATTAGCAAAACAGGAATAAATAACATATTACTAAATATTAATTGAAAAGGAATAAGTTGGATATTTTTCGAAAATAATATATTCAAACGCGCGTATTAATTGACTTTAGTACATCTCTAACATCTCTACATTTCTAACTCGCCTGTTATCATTCTCTTTCTTCACGTTCAGCAACAGGGTTTGAGCCGATGATATATTTCTGATCAAAATTAAATACATTATTTAATTGTTATAACATAGAACATAAGTTAAAAACTAAATTAGAAACACAATATCAATATTAAAGCAAACAGAAATTACCTATCTTCATATGCCTGTTTTAAAGAGGATTTTGGGAAAAGTGCTTGTACTGGTGAAATTATGGCTGTGTCTCTACATCAAGAAATCATTTTTATTCAATTAAGATGATCAATAAAAAAATATAACACTCGTGCAACAAAACGGAATTTATTGTCTGTTATAGATTATGTATATATAGTACATATATATATATGTATATACAAATTTACTTAAATCGTTTATATCAATATAAATAGATTAATATAATCGTTTATATCGATATAAATAGATTATATTATTCTTATAGCAAAATAGGAGCTCACCTTTCATCAGGTTTCATGGGATGCGTTTCAGATACTTCGGATTGTGATAAATCTGTAGAGTTTCTGTAAAAGAATCACATATTTAGAAACTATATTACTCCTTGAGCAAAAAGTGAGAAGATTCAAGTGGAACTTGCGAACTTACCTATTTCTGCTCTCTGGCTTCAAAAATATAGTTACAAAAGAAATCGGTTGAAACATTTACATTTTTAATTCTTTTTAAATATAATTTTAAAATATGATATTCTTATTTAGAAATTATTTCTAGCAATATTGTAGTAATATAATAGGTATATATAACTGTAGATAGTAACAGATACAAATAGATATAAATATTTACTCACTCTCCCGTTTGTTGTAATGGCTTCAAAAATATTGATGGCACAGCTTCTTTACTGAGATAAATTCTTCCTTCTATATTTCGAAACATTTCTACTCGAAAATGTAAATGACATAACCGATAGAATCGATTCGCCATTTCTGGGCCTACTGGCACCAAATCCATTCTATTGCATGCTTTAATCCATTCTAACCATCTAAAATTATATAATTTTAAATGTAAATCTAACAATGAAAATATAATGTTATATATCAAATACAGAACATAAATTTGAAGATTTATTTCATATAGACAAGCACAAAATTAATTTTTAAAGAATATATATAAGAATAGAAAAAAAGATATACAAATTTACAAATAATATATTACTTTGCAACAAATGCTAAAAATCAAAATCAAAGTCATATTTGAATAATTCGGCCAATTAACCAATATGATTAGTTAATTCCTTCTTCGTCCAAGATCTCAAAACAATTTCTAACATTGTGGGCACAAGGCTTTATAGTTTGAACTGGTTCGAACTAGATACAAATACCTTTTCCTATCTTTTGGAAATCGAAAGAAATGTCGTCTCATGATTTTTATATTCAACATGCAACCTGGTGCAGAACACCAGCGAGTGTTAGTTCCAGTTCCATCCATTCTTTTTAATGTAATATATTATTTAACACACTGCACTTTTTACTTGGAAACCTAAAGTATAAGAACAAATATAAGTTTAATCATTGTAAATATCTTACTAATGTTATGCTTTGTACACTAAAGAGTATATTAACATTTTTAAGTCTGCAAGTTTTGTATTAAATGTTACAAATACAAGACTTAATTTAGAAATTTCAAATATTCAAATCATGGTATTGTACATAATGTTACTAGATAATTTTATATAACAGCTTTGAAATGTATAAGCAACATGTAACTGTAAAGATTTGTTTCTTACAATAAGAATTTAAATTAAGCTAAATTTCTTATAAGAAATAGTTTAAATAACACACATAAAGATCTGTAATATTATATCATAGAAATAACAATAATACAAATAAACTGCCCGAAATATATTTATTAATTTCTTAAAATATAATTCATTAATTTCTTTCTAAGTAGTTAATTAATTTCTTAAGTAGTTGATATTTGAATGTAATTTTCTTATTTGTAATTTTGAAATTTGTTTAATATGTATCTTTTATGTAACTTATCTACTATTTTCTAAGTTAAGGTCTAGGTTGCTAGGCAGCATTATGCTGATACCTCACCTTTTGATTGTGCTTGCTATCATAATATTCTGTCTTTCTTGGTTTTCTTGTAAATTGTATGCACATCAATAAAGCTATTATTATTATTATACGTTTCCATTTTTTAATTATTCAGTTTATTATTGTTATAGCAAAACCCAAATTCAATGAACTGTCATTCAACAATTTCTCACAGCTTCACTTACCATTTTTTATCTACTTTCATACAAGTACACTGTACACAAAATCTATCCATGTAAAATTGTTATAAGTTATTAATAAAATTGCATACTTAATTTTCAAGCCTTATCTTACAATAAATTTAATTTCCTGCACATACACTGCCATTTGTAAATATTTGTTCACCCGTCTTTTCGTACCTTCCATAAATGTGGAGAGAAATTTTAGAAAATGTTTACCTTACAATCAAGACAGCAGATGACCTCAATCATAAAGTTACTTGAAGGAAGGTTGTAAATTCTATAACAACTCACGAGCGATAAATCCTTCAATTTTCGTGTACAAAACTTGGTACTTGTCTACTCTCAAGTCTCTTACATCGCATCCTGTCGATACACGAACGATTCTTCCCATTTCTCGATTCCCGCTTTCTCGCGGGCGCAACTTTTCAGAGATAAATAAATGATCCGTTAGATTAAACCGTCATGGCAAAGTTAAAACGAAACGCGTATTCGGATTTCGAAGGAAAAAAGGCGAGGAAGAGAAATCACAGAAAAGTATACGGGAAAGGAATAATGTCCATCACGTTTCTTAACAAACGAGAAACGAGGATTTCGCGCGAAGCGATGCGTGCGTTCATAAAAAACGTCAGCTGAGCATAATAGATTCGATTGGTTGACCTCGAGCTTGTGCATGGTTTATCAGCCAATTGCTGTTCTCGCTGAATACGCGGCAATTTCAAAATTGGTTGTCTTTTTTCATCTTTTAGTGCGCGTATAAAAATGCATCGAGATCCGAAATGTTTAATTTATCGCAAAGTTTTCATGTTAACTTTGTTAAAAATTACATTGTTATTAACTTCAACGTATCTTTATTACAATCTTTACATATTATTGAAAAAATAATAAAGTACAAAGTATTTTTAAAAGAGATGTAGAATCGAAGTATTATAATAATTTCATTCGGAAATATTTTTCTAAACATATCATACATACAAAGGTAATATATAAACATCTTTCTATATTATAATAATATTGTATATATATTATATAATACAAGCTTCATTCAGTTTGAATGTTCACGCGCTTTAAGCGCTTATAATCATCATAATCATCATTCCGTTTTTATATCAAATGTTTGATGTTAAAACAAGGAATCGTTCAAATCGAACGCAGTTATAATCACATACTGTACAACAAATGTCTAATACGTTTTCATCTATGCTTACCATGCATTATATACAATACATATGTACACATATGATACAGATATATGTATACATATATAAAAAAAATACATAATTATGGCATAAAATCTGCGCTATATGTTCTCGTACTCAAGAATATACTAAATTTCAATATAGCATCTTTGGTAGGCTCAAGTATTATTTCATCTTCAGTGGACCAACCAACGGTATCCGCAGCTAAAATTAAACCAAAAAATATATTAGTGAGAATGTATCATAACAATTTGATAAAAAAAGATAAATCAGAAAAAATGTAGCAAATATCAGAAAACAGCATACGGTTCTTCGTGCCTAATAATAAGTACCTTTTATTTAGTGATACAAGTCAACAAAATGTCATTCTACCTTTTTTGCATTCCATGAATAACAAAAATAGAACGATACTTGTGTTACTAAACGGCAAGTATCCATTATCTATCTGAGATTAACTGTGTAACATTTGTAATAAAATAAAATGATATTATCATACAAAGCACTCTACCAAAATATTTTTACAGATTGTATAAGACAAGAAAGCAAATTATCTGAAATATTAGTACATAAATATTTTTTATTCGAAAGATATTATCGAAATAGATATATCGTTAATCTTTTATAAATTAGCACGTGTATATGTTTAATTAGGAAAATAGAGAAATATGAAATAATATTTATGCACAGATAGATTACAATACTTTGAGAATGTCACATGAAGTGACATATTGTACATGCGTACGATAATGAATATAAAGAATGCGAACATGTTGATGCAGACATTAATTAAATATCAAGTATTAGGAATCTAAAAATTTCCAATTTTAGTAATATTAATTTTAATGATCACATACTTAGATTACTAATGTTAACTGTAAGTGGTGCAGAGAACAGAGTAACGCGCGTTTTCTTCAAGAGCTTACTCTCTAAACATCTCAACTTGACCAGCATCTGCAAAAAATTATTTTCATTGAAAGTTAGCTTCTTGCAATAATATCAAAAAGAAAATGTATGCAGGTTGCATATTATTTTTTATCAATAAGTTGTAAAAACTCTGAAGTACTTATATCTAATATAAGATCTAATGGAGCGAGTTTTTTAAGAATCTGAAAATACTGACTTATTAATTTGCAAGTATATAGACAATCAATAAAACGTACCTCAACTAATTCACGTGTATGGAAGGGTTGTAGAACGGGAATAAATCTGCTTTGCATTTTCGCCATCGTAAGTCCAGGATGAAGCATGCAATAACTCAGGACTGCACCTAACATTCGATCTAAAACTTTGCGATTTAGCACGCCGTCTATACGTATCCATGGCCTTATCGCAACTTTTATTTCTTCAACAGTTCTGAAAGAGAACAATTCAATATCATTTTTCAAGAGGCTTCTCTAAGAAAATTTTTTTTATTCATATATGATTTCATACGTAAAATCTAGTTGCTGCGCTGATTTATACACATCCTTTTGTGGAAGTAAACGTGTCTTTTGCTTATGCGTTCTTTTTCTTGTACGTAAATTGCTTTTCTTATTAATCTCGCTACCTTCTTCCTTTTCATCCTTCTCGTTAATTATGTTGTTGTCCGTTTTCGTGTTTTTCTTTTCTTTGCTGTCTTGGTTGTCCGATGATGTTGAAGGTATCGCATTATCTATTTCGCCTGCAATATGTTTATTCTAAATATTAATCGTTAAAAAAACAATATATTAAATATAGATAACTTAATCCATTTAGCAATTCAACAAATCTGGAAACGTTGATTTTTTTTAATACTGTCACTTTTGTAAACTTTATGATACAAAGAAACACACACTGAAATATAATAAAGCATAAAATATAAATTGAATATAATATTCTGTGTGATAAAAGCCTCTATATTTTAATAAAATTTTTTAAATGGTACATATAGAATTTGTAATACCAAAATCTTATTCATAATTATAAATGAGAATTGATGTATTCATTTATGATTACGAAATAAATATTTTAACAAAATATAAAATTAAAATATATAATATAACTATATATTACGTTTTTCATTTGCATCCTTTTCATTTGCATTCATCTCAACGTTTATTTCAGTTATTTTCCCCTGTTGCATTGTGGAATAAATACTATCCTTAAATGACACTAAGGCTTCTTGTTCAAGACGATATATTTTACAAGAATTAATTAACCAGGGATCCACATAACGATGATGAATATACCGTGGTTTGGTCACACCAGAGCG